ATGTATTCCAAAGGCTGATCTACTAAACTCGTATAAGGTACTTAGTAGATATTATTGCCGGCAAAGGCAAGAGAGACTGGAATGACCATTTCTGGCATATTAGCCGTCGTCAGCCCGTTGTACCCAGACCCAAGTGGTGCACAACCCGAGGCTGGAACTCGCAAACTTTTTGATCAGAGTCTAACGCTATAACCACTGAGCAACGAGGCCGTTGTCTTGCCGGGTTAGGTCGGGAAATATGGACACTCGTTCGAAGTTCTGACCTGACCTTGTAGTGAGAGTGTGCCGAGATATGGGAATAACCTGCATTTAACTGTCTAAACACTTTGCTTTAACTGCAATATTTGTTTTTATGAACTGACAACAATCCTGCTTGAGGTTCTCCGCTTTGCGCGAGTGTCTGATGATCAGGCCGTTTCACCTTTGATCATTAAGTTTGAATTTTTTTTTAAATTCTAGTCTCAGCGATCATATCTGCTTTTTAATTAATGTTCTTTTCCTGCTATTGGTAATCAGAGGTTTCTTTCCTTCATTTTCGCTCTTTAAACTGTTTACCTACCCATTTTCAAGCAACGACATTTCAGAAAACAGTGTCGCTTCTTCGAGCCGCGCTCAAGCAGTCCAATGCATAAATACCAACAAATGCACCGAAACTAGCTGCTATCTCTGGTGTGGCAACTGTACACTGTCATCTTTTAAACCCTTATCAGAGGCAATTGCGTGATAGACCATTAAGTAACCTCATTGTGCCCCCCAAACGGGCACCTGATAGGTGCACTGGACCAACACTTCAGTTAGATTAGGACACGTCAGGCGTTTTTTTGGGTGCGCACCCAGAACCGACCATGGAGTGGACGTGCGGGTGCATTGGAAGCACGCCTAGGGGCAGACTCACGCTTCACCGGGCCACCTGCGCCTGACCTCTGCCGAATCTGTGCGTAGCGAGCTATAATACTGTGTATACCAATAGTGCAGAATATGCAGATTCCAGGAAGCAGTTCAGAAGAAGAGGATGAGATAAGTGGAACAGGAGTTTTATTTTCCTGACGTTTCGGATTCCGTCGGAAAGAATGGATCGAAGCGGTCAGCCGTTTGCTCACCCAACTCGGAGTTGGAGTTGCACACAAGTCAGGAGCAACCATCAGGCGCCGGGTCATAAGACCAAAAGACCCACTGCCATGGTAGAAAACAGCTGGAGTCGTTTGCTGGATCCGGTGCAGTTGTGGACAAAGCAACTACGTCGGAGAAACCGGGAGTTTACTCGGAACGTGAATGGCCGCGCATGCAGCGGCGGTGAGGAAGAAACCCGCCAACTCCCTGTTTGCAGCTCACTCGACAGGACCCGACAATATTTTTAAGTTTGACGATACCGAAGTTCTCGCAAGAGGTGAAAACCACGTGAGCAGCGAGCTGTTGGAGTCATGGTTCTCTCGTTCCCAGTCCATCAACAAGCGCAAAGAATCGGCGTTCCCATACGGTGTAATGAGAAGTTCCTGAGCAAGAGAGTCAGTCACGTGGGAAGCATCGGGCGCAGCAACGACTCTGACAACAGCGGGTAAAATTTTCACGCCATTATCAGGCCCACATCCAAAGCCGACACGGCAACTGTGGCAATTAGTGAGTCGATCGCGAAATGCCATGCCAGTACTGCATCATTTAAGACCCAA